TATAGCTTGCTGGATGTGCTTGATTATCATTTGCGCATTTTGGTGGTATACTTGCTGGCTTATCACACTCTCCTGTAACCCTGAAAAGGAGGAAAACTCCTATAGCAGGGAAATAGGAAAATCAAATGTCCTAGGAAAATGTAAACACTCATATAAAAAAGTCAATAATAAACCAAAAAAAACTATCCTGTAAGATGGGTTTTGACACATTTAACACACACTGGTTGCCTATTACAGAAATGATTAGTAGGCTCATATCTTTGGCACCGTTTACATTGGGGTATAAATGTTTGGCTTCTCACTGGCTCAATTTGGATAATTAGGTTTTTTAATGTCTTAGTTTCGTAAATTCTTTTAATGTCTTCGCCGTTTTCAAATGTTGACATGAATAACGACAATGGCTTTTTTATAGCAGTTATGACTTAATTTCCTTTCTCTACGTTGGATATTAACCACATCCAACATTTTAAATCCCCTGTGCTTTAATTCTTCAGCTATATCTTCTGGCTTGCAGGTAAGGTGTAGGTTTCTAGCCATCACTTTTATTAGTCGTGTTTGTTTTATCTCATACGAATACCATTGATAGCCTTGGTTTGAAAACTATGTTGTCATTGTTCTATATTCGTGGCCAAAATTTACGTTTAATTTGATTTCATCGTTATTTAATATGGTAACACAAAATTGTGTTGGTTACTTATTAGTTTTTTTCTAAACCAGAGGTCTCCAAACTTTCCAGCCTTAGGGCCATACTGATTACTCTAGTAAGTTCCAAGGGCCAAAATCGTTCTAATTTTTTTGAAATTATCTATAATTTCTACGACCGTGGCACTTGACGAAATTTGGTGGTCAAAAGCGGAAATAGGTGCTGATAGTACTCTCGAAATCGTAGTAAAAACTAAATATTTGTAAATAACCTCGGTGGTTCGAAAAAGTTCTGGTGTATTTTACTCACTTCGAGAGGGCAGTAATTGGAGTATAAAAAGGCTAGCGGTGCGATCGTTAGTCAGTCTGTCTAGCTCTAAACATAGTGAACAACTGGTGCAAAAAGGAACAATTGTCCATCAACGCACAAAAAACAACAGTTGTACCATTCACAAAAAAAAACGGGTACTTACAGGTCTAAGACCACTAGTACTAAACAGCACAGTTATCCCATTCGTTATAGAAGCCAAATATCTCGAAGTCATATTTGACCAAAGGCTGACGTGGAATCAACATCTCAAAAAACTCACACATAAAGCTACAATAGCTCTCGTAAGCTGTAGAAGAATATGTGGGAAAAACTGGGGTCTAAACCCCAAAATGACCATATGGTTATACACAAGGGTAATAAGACCCATGATAACCTATGGCGCAGTGGCGTGGGTAACCAAAACTACGCAGGCAAGTGCAATAGGCCAACTCACTAGCATTCAGCGGCTTGCCTGTCTAAGTGCTAATGGGGCCATGCGCACTACGCTGACCGCAGCAATGGAGGTATTATTAAATCTCACGCCACTGCACATCTTCATACAAGAAGAAACCAGGTCAGCTATTAACAGGCTAATGCAGGGAAAAAACCCAATAAGCCAACTACATAGCGCCGACCACACAAGGCTATATCAGCAAGTAAAAAGGGATAATATTCTAGCTATGCCTACTGATAGAGCCATAACCACATACAAATTTGAAAGAAATTTTCAAATTCAAATACCAGCCCGAGAATCCTGGAAACAGGGACCTCCCGTACAGGCTGAACTCGTCTGCTACACAGACGGTTCAAACCAAGGAAGGAGCCGGTGCTGGAATCTATGGACCTAAGTCGAAATCAATGATTTCACTAAGTTTAGGAAAATATGCAACAGTGTTCCAGGCTGAGCTAATAGCCATACAACACTGTGCAAGAGAAATATTAAATCAGCAAGTATCAGGCAAAACTATTGCCATATACTCTGATAGTCAAGCAGCTCTAAAGGCAATTCTCTCACCAGAAATCATATCACGACTGGTTAAGGACTGTCTAGAAGACCTGACAGAGTTAAGTAGTCAAAATAAGGTGACCTTAGCCTGGGTTCCAGGCCATGAGGGATATCAGGGCAACGAAAAGGCCGATGAATTAGCCCGAGAAGGCTCATATAAGGCCATGACAGGCCCCGAACCCTTCTGTGGAGTTGCTAAGGCATTGTGCAATGCATCCATTAAACAATGGATGTAAAAAGAGTCTCAGGAATGGTGGAACAACTATCCAAGACTGAGACAGGCCAAACAGTTCATCAAGGAGCCATCGGCCAAGTTTACGAAAGACCTACTGGATCAAAAGCATCAAATCGTTAGGATAACAGTAGGCCTTCTTACTTGACACTGTCGCCTTAAAAGGCACATGAGTGTCATAAATCCAGCAGAAGAAGCAACTTTGTGCAGGTTCTGTGAAGAAGAAGAGGAAACATCATTCCACGTCCTGTGCGAATGTTAAAGCCTGGCTGGAATGAGGTTTCTAACATTGGGCGAAGAAAAGCCAATTGCATGCAACTACATGCGGGAGCCACTGTCAAAGCTGCTAAGTCTACTAAAAAAGACCAGGCTAGACGACATATTCTAAAACAAACGGAGTCCCACAATAGATCTGAAAAGGTCGCGGTGGACAAGGACAAATAACTCCTAATCTAATCTAATCTAATCTAGGGTAGGCGAAGGAAGCGAAACTGTCTGTTCTGAAATAAAGTAGTGCGTAACCGCGTTTAAAAGACATCTTCGAATCTACCAACGCCCTTACGTAACAGTATTTTAATTTAAAATGGTCCAGTTAACCAAAAGGACGATTTTTATTATGTCCATCAAGTGAGACCTTTTTTGATTAAATACGATTCCTTTCAGCTCAATTTGGAATTTTTAAAAACTAATTTAAATCTGTAATCCTTGACTTCTAAAATTCTGAGATACCAATTTTAGTCGAAATCTGCCGACTTTTAAAAATAATTTTTATTTTTAAAACTGCCCACCTTGTATATAACTGATTGGAAGTATTACTGGGTTTAATTTAGAAGAGAACCTTATCTAAAAACAAAATTTTAAGTTTTTTTATAAAGCCGTTTTTGAGATATCGCGCCAACAGACATACAGACGACAGACAGACCGACGGAATGGGGAAACATATTTTTCGTAATTAGGAACCCTGAAATGTGAAAATCTGAAATAATCTCAGAAGATGACTTTTTCACGATTACAATAATTCCATTTTAAAGGAATAAAAATATTATGCTGTCTCTCGTGGGCATGTGGAATCTTTTCGAGTCCCAAAATTTTGTTAAAATTGGTCTAAAAACAATGAGTAAAACAGGTACTGTGTGAAAATTTCGGATTTTTAAAGAAATCAATATTATTTTATATATTTATATATAGTTTTGTTTTATTTGACTAGCCCAATCAACAGGCACTATCAATAACATATCGGAGTAATCGGGCCTAAAATATTATTTTAAGACTTTGTTGGTGGACGCGCCGTGGTAATTGGCTTTTTATCACTGAAATCTTAAAACTAGGTAAATTTTAGTTTAAGATATCCAAAAACCTCTAAAAAACTTCTGAAATCAACAAAGTTTCTTCCTGATTTACCTAGAAAAACAAATTAAATTCATTTAAGAAGTAGAGGTACACCGGTTCTGGCCCAAAATCGGGCATATCCTGTGAAAATTACCATGGCAATTTCTAAGGTCTCATAAGACATTTTTGTCACTAGATTTAGTAACTATTTAAAATCTAGTACTTTTTTCGTAGGTTGGTAGCACTAATTTTCTCGTTAAATTTTATGTTGGCAACACTGTTTGTCACTAGATTTTTAAAATATAGTAACTTTTTCTAGCCATATGTCACCTGTTACTTCACCTGTAATGCCAACTACCATGTCATCTGTCATGTCACCTTCTAATTCAACTGTCATGCTGCCATCCAGGATATCTACCGCTAGATAGATGCTCTTATTTATTAAATAAGTAATTGTCATTCTGCAACTCACCATACACCATTATTATTCAATATCACAGCAACCCACCACACGCCATTTTATTATCTTATTAATTTTAATTCAATCTCTATAATTTCATATACCAAATTATATTAATTTACTATCATTATTAATATAGTTTTGCCAACTGAATGGTAGAACATGTACATCTATACATTAGAAAAAGAAAGTCCTCACGTAAAAAAGTTACTCATCACAAAAGTACTTTTAAAGTCAATGTTTCTAGATAATTTAAATGGTGCAAATTACTTGTAGTTCTTACAAAATGATTTACTAAAGTAAATGAAAGAGGTAAATTTAGGAATAAGGCAAAATATGTAAAATTTACAAGATAGAGCTTCAGCGCATTTTAATAGTGAAGTTAGGCTATTTTAAACATTTATTATAGTAAATACTACATATTTGTATATATTTTTTATACCTCCGAATAATCTGAATACTTGGTTATAACTTACTTTTTGTTACTCAAAATGTTTGAAGGATAATGAAAAAACAAAAACATGATAAGAAGCAAAAAAAAATAAAAAAATGATCTACCAATGATATCACAATACTAATTTAATTGTAACGCATAAAAAAGTTTAGCGGGTTTTAAGGGTTCAAAATTCCACTAAAATTTTTATGAGCTATACAGACTTCATGGTTTTTATATGAAAAAGATGCTCTTACGAAAAAAAGCCATCTATTCATTTTAATTACAAAATGTTAAATAGTGTATGAAATATTGGAAAAAATCAATTTTCATTTTGTACTTTCCAAGGGCTAAATTTTTTTTTGTGCACATTTGCATTAAAGTAAGTTTTGTATAATCAATTTTTTTTTGAGCCCAGAATATGTGGTTCTATTTATGACCTACCTTTTTGTTACACTCTGATCCGAGTTACATTAAAGCGTAAATACACCTTTTGAATTATGTAAAACAAGTTGAGATAGGTTATTGAAAACGCCACAAGAACATTACGAAACGCATTGAACAAGTCTTCTATTTAAGTTTCTCTTTATGGAAGACGCACACCGTTGTTCTACATCATCAGGTAAGTAAAATTAAACAAATAATTTATGATCCTCGCAAACGAATTCTGAAGACCGCAAGAAGCAATCATTCTGTTGCATACACTAGGTACAGAAGTCAAAGGGTTATATTGCATTTCACTATGATGATTTATTATCTTATTAGTTCCGGGTTCGGATGAATATTGGTCAGGGTTTTTCATAGAACTGACTCGACTCTCGACTGTAATTTATTATGTCAATGCTGGTGAATATTGACAAGCAACGTGCCTTGGCAAAAATAATTTTATTGATTAATATCAGTTTTGGTTGGTATCCTAGGGCAATCCAAACCGATTTTAATTGACTAAAATATTATATGACTGACTTATTATATAACCGTTCAGAAACAAATAAATATATTTAAAATTATTATCACATCAGTGATTTTATTACTTCTGTTTTTGTTTTGTTTATGATATTGATATTACCATAGATATTAGAACACACAGCGAAATTTGTCTATTTTCAAAAATACGTATTTAATATTAAGCAGGATTAATTCAAGAAAACATATTCTTTATTTGAATCCTGGCATTCTTAAACTGACATTGACGTTTTCAATTTTTGAACTAAAAGTTATGTGATAAAATTAGCACAAACGTTGTTAATTTAAAAATAAAGAATTTCTTTTTAAACTTTGTGCACGTAATGTATTTCCAATAATTAAGCATAAGACGTTCTTAAATTTGAAAATCATTTACTTTAACTGAGAATAGAACTTCTTGTTTTAAGCTCCATTTGATTAGAATTTTTTAAAGACTTGCTATAATTAAATTAAGCAAGAGATTAAAATTATAAATAAACTACTTGTTATAAGTATGGATAACCGTCGTTCGATTAGGAAATGTTAAATAATGCAGATGCTCAAAATAACTATGCTCATTTCTTAAATTGAAAAGAACCAACTTTAAATTGAAAATAAAACTTCTTAATTTTAAGTATGGATAACCGTCTTTCGCTTAAATTCTTTTAGGGAACACCCATGCTTAAAATAAGTATGAGGGTTCTTTAATTGAAAAGTACACTTTAATTAGGATCAAAACTTTTTGACTTTAAAAGGAGTATTTACTTTAGAACATGCATGCCATGCAAGAGTTTCGTATTACCCCACTATTAAAGTTTATTTTTTACTTTTTCTAAAAACTATGTGCGTGTAGGTAAAGGTTAAATCTATGCTCCTCTGGAGACACTTTCTCAAAATTTGATTCTGTTTTTTCTAAAAAAAAAAAAATAATAGAAACCTCAATTTTTTTATCAATTTTATCATTTTTTTTTTTAGATGAAACTAAATTGAATTTCAAAAAAGTGGTTTCAGAGGAACATAGGTTTACCCTTTACCTACACGCATATATTTTTTCTTTTATAAATAGTAAACTTTGAAAGTGGGGCACTACGAAAACCTTAGATTGCAGCTTTTATGTCTGGAAAGTGGCGCCTCTCTTAGATTTTTAAGAAATTAATATCTGTGAATGAAAACAATTTATAATACATTTTACTGATGTTTCACGAGCGATAAATAAATTTTACTTATTTGTACACCTTATTTTTTACGTAAATCATTTCTGTCATACTAAGATTGGCATATATACTATACGTATATTATGCAAGGTTTCATAGTACACCAATTTTAAGGATTATTTTTTAATTTTAATACTACTAAGAAAAATTATATAAGTAAAGGTAAACGCTGAACCCGTATTTCTCTTGAGTCTCTTCTGAAAAAAATCCAAAAAGATGTTGTTCTAACGAAAATAAATAAAAATGTCCCCTAAGGCTGGACCAATACGATCAGACAACTACCGCATAGTGGTGTCACGAGTTGGATCACCTCAGGAAGATGGCTAGGAAATCATTCAATAAGGCAAGAACCATTAAACTCAAAGAGGACTGGGATACTTACAAATTTCACCTCAGAGAATACAAAAAAATCATTAGACAAAAACAGAAATATTCTTGGAAATCTTACTGCGAAAAAGTGGAAGATTTCCCGCAGACAGCGAGGATCCAAAAAGCTCTTTCAAAAGATCCACACTGCAACATTGGCAGCAGAGGATGGCATAAAAAAGCCAACTTTGAAGATAGCATCAAACTACTGCTGTCAACACACTTCCCTGATTCGGTTATCACGGACGTCGCCGACTGGAAGAATACAATCTGTCTGTCTATGATTGGCAAATTGCCAAACACATTGTAGATGATGACAAAATTAGATAGGTAATATCCAGCTTCACTCCATTTAAATCGCCAGGACCTGACGGTATCTATTCAGCCCTACTTCAGTGGGGTCTTAAAGAACTCACACTGCACCTGGTAGGTATATACAGATACCCGTTGGTTCTGAGGTGGATCTCCAAAAACTGAAGAGAGGTAAAAGTGGTATTCATACCCAAACGTGAAAGGATCGATTACACTTTCCCAGAAACATACTGACCAATTATTCTGACATCGTTTTCAATGAAGACATTGGAAAGGCTATCCGAAAGGTATATAAGGGATTTGGTGACTGAAACAACATCACTGCACCCAAAGCAACACGTATACACTCCCGGCAGATATGCGGATTCAGGTCTTCACCTAATTGCTGGCCGCCTAGATCCCTGGACTTATTTGAGCCCGTCTTGGGAGTTTTCACAGACATAGAAGGTGCTTTTATTAAAATCACCTTCCAAAGATAATACACACACTAACAAACAGGAATGTTCCACAGATGGTTAGTGGGTGGGTACACACAACATGCTCTTAAAGCGTAAGTAAGTGTATAAAATGTAAATATAAGAGGCTTGGTTGCGAAGAGATATCCACTAGAAGGGGTGCTATCACCTTCATTCTGGAACATGATTCTCGACACCCTCATCAGCCGTTTCACTAATGACAGTAACTATATAATAGCGTATGTAGATGACCTGATCATCCTGCAAATATGAAATTTTGAAAACATCCTCTGCAAAAGGATGCAAACAAAATTATAGAACAGTGGTGCAAGGACCATTCACTGTCTATCAAACCCCAAAATACAGAAATAGTCCTTTTCATAAATAAAACAACGAAAATGGAATTAAAGCCTGCAAAGCTCCTAAATACAAAACTAAACATTGGAACAAAGGCGAAGTACTTAAGTCTCACCTTTGACAGCAACATGGAACTCGCACTTAGAAAACAGAGTCGTTTATGAACAATGCTGATTAACCGTGGGGCGCACCTGGTGTTTTTTCCAAAAAATTGTCGCATAGACTTATACAACCATCATAAGACCTATGTCAACATACGGTGCAGTTGTCTGGGTAACGAAAACTCAATTGAACATGGACTCCATCTCACCGAGATATATTTCTCATAAGTCATATAACAGAACAAATAGAAGAGCCGATATGACAGGTACGATTCATATCTAAACCGACGGTTCTAAAACAAAACAAGGCTCAGGATGTGGAACATAATCCAGATCCTTAAACCTAAACAGAGCTCACGGGGATTCTCATAGCAGCAAAAGAAATCACCGGAAACAATATCACTGGAAGAAACATGCTCACCTATACAGATAGCAGACAAACACTACTACCCCTAAATACGAATTTAGTCAGGGTTACCCTTAAACACGAATTTAGTCAGTGTTAGTACTTTTTATTTCTAGTTGGGTGTGAATCCATTACGAACACCAGCCATACGGTTCTGCCCATACCTGTTAGTGTGTGACTCCCGGCTAAGGGTGCAAGGCCGGTATACCCGCTAAAATCGCCCCATTTCCTAAGAAGGAACCTATTTGGGACTGTAGTCGTGTATTGCTTCAAATAGGTCAGCGGAGCTAGATGTTCTGCATATTCTTTCCATTTTTTTTTATTCTTCTATTCTATTCATGTCTTTTCTTTTTGTTGACAGGATTTTTGCTGAGTAGTTCTTTATAGTATTTCAGTTCTCGTTGCTCTGTAGGATCTTATTAATTATGTTGTCTGGTGTTATTCTTTCCAATTTGTTTTCAGTGGCTTTTTTTTTCATCTTCCCATCTTACACATTTAAATAATGTATGTTCTACTGTATCAACTGATCTACAGTATAATCATTCGTCCGTATCAGCTAGTTTAAATCTAGACAGGTAGGATTGGAAGGTTCCATGTTCCGTCAGAAGTTGAGTAATATAAAAGTCATTTTTACCATGATTTCTATCGTTCCAGGGGTTTAGGTCTGGTATTAGCCTTTTGGTCGATTCTGCAGTCCCTTCCTCTTGTTCCCATCTCCCTTGCCATTTTTCCAGTATAATTTGTTTTGTCACTGTTCTATCCGTGTCATTTCGTATAATCTCCCGTTCTTCAGCTAGTTTATCCAATGGAGGTGTTCTGACTAATACCAGCAGGGCTTTTGTAGATGTTGTCCTGTATGCACTTGTTATGCTGATTGCTACTCTACGTTGGACTTTTAGGAACATGCTTCTGTATAACTGTTTCCCCTCCGTACAGTATGATTGATTGAAGAACGTAAAAAAGGATTCATCTGCTGTTTTCTCTTGGTTCGCCTACTTTAGGCATCAGCCTTTGGAAGTTTCCTATCGCCTTGCATGCTTTTTCAGTGTTATTACTAGAATGTCACGAAGCTTTGGCCGAAGTATCCATCAACAACGTGATAGCCTTAAGATTGATTAAAGGTCACGCTACATCGAAAGGTAACCGTTTCGCTAATTCACTGGCCAAGGAAGCAGCCAATTAAATAATTTTTGGACCTGGCCCCTCTATTAGACTGACAAAATTGGTAGTGACAGACATTCCCTTGTGAAATTCAAGGAAAATGGGATGAAATAAGAAACTGCTGAGTTTGCCAGGGAGCTTTAAAGTTATTCTGACAACACTACAGTAAACAAATTCTTGACTATGACTAGACAGAATCTACGCTTGGTTACAGGCATTCTGACTGGTAATTTCCAAGTACAGAAGTATCTATATATCATGAATTTGTCAGAATCAGCACTCTTCAGGGGGTGCGAACAAGAAGATGAGACCATCGAGCATATTCTCTATCATTGCCCGAAGTTATTAGAGTTGTGTACGGTGAGTATCGGCTAGCACCGGCGGATATAAGAGAAGCACCTCTTGGCGACGTTGTCAACTGCATTAAATCTGGCTCACAAGCTAGGAGGTGCCTATCATCTTAGGAGGATACACAATCGCCTAGTGAGGTCTAAGTTCCGTGAGGTAACCCATCCTCCACACGTTACAGATACAGATGCTTATGGATCATATTTCATTTCGTTGTCTGACATCGAGATAGAATGAGGTAAAGATGACATAAACACTATTTTGCAATGTAATTGAAATGGCGAGTTCGAGTCGTACTTTCATTTATTTGAAGTCAATAGTTTTATATTTGAAGATTCACGGAATAAAAATGTTTTGATATCATTTAAGTCACACTATTTAAAACTATGACATTTATTCTCACCAAAACTGTGCTCGAGTTTGGCATATGACGTAAAAGTGTACGTAAAAGTATACAAAGGTGCGGACACCTTTATTATAACATCTCCTCTTTATTATATGAGGCTATGAAAAGCTAAGTGGACTAACCCACAAAATTGTATTTTTTTTTTTGATACTATTTGAATCTTGATATCCATATCTTATCAAGAGCAAAGCGGACTAAGCCATCTTTTACAATAAATCGCTTTTGCGCAATTAACATATTCATTCAAAAGCAAAGTGGTCTAACCGCACTTAGTCCATTGTGCCGCTGTAAACTAAGTGTTAAACGTGACAGAAGCGTGTGTTTAGTTGTTTGTGTTCAATTTATAAGTTTTTTAACTAAATTATTTAATATTTTGCAAATTTGTGAATACTATGAGCGATGTAATTGACGGTACTCTTGCTTATGAGGCTATTATGTGTTTCAATTTTGAGGTTAGGTAGTACATTAGTATTGGAAAATTTATTGATTTACAAATATTATAATAAATACAATCCTTAAAGTAAATAATAACAGTACATTCAGTTTAATTGCATAAAAAGAAACAGTTAAGAATTAAAAACAATACAAATTATATAAAAATAAATGAAAATAATTCATTATTTTTTACTATTGAAACAAAATGAAAATATTTTGCAGATTTATCGGACTCTGAACCATTTCAGGAGTCTGGTTCGGAATTCGTGCCTTTCGATGAAGAATCAGCAGACGAACCTTCTGTTACTGACCCACCAAAAGCATCCAGAGATGTTAAGAGTAGAAAGCGAGTTCGCAATGAAAAAAAGTGGAGGAGAAGTGTTGCTAAGAAAAAGCGATGTGCCGGTGAAGAGTATACAACCAGATCCAATAGAGTTGTTCCTGCAAAGACTTTTAGTCCATGTGTATGCAGTTGTAAACATCACTATAAAAATATGATTCCTGAGAAACGTCAAAGAGCTTTGCATCAGTACTTCTATTCATTGGAAAACTTTGATTTTCAAACCGCGCATCTGTTTTCCTTAATCAAAGTTGAAAATAAATTACGCACATACACTGGGAATCTACAGAGCAGGAGGGAAAAGACGAGAATTTTCCTACTACCAGACAAAAATGATGCAGAGCGAAAAGTCTGCAAAACATTTTTTTTAAGCTGTATATCAGGTTTGTGTTTTTTTAAGTTTTTTTCAATAAATATTATTGTGGTAAACAGACCGCGGAGAGATTATGTTTTGAATTATTGTATGTACTACTCTACATTTTAGAAATATTTTTATAAATATGGTAGCCTCGGATTTCTTTTGATGTTTTCATTGAAATCGACAGAATGTTGAAGAACAAGTCAAAAGAAGCACTTGCGCCTCAGGACCGTCAAAGAAAACATATTCCAAGTAATAAGATACAAGTTGCGAAAGAAAACGAAGTAAAGCCTTTTATTGAAAAATTTCCATGTTACGAGTCCCATTATTCACGTGAGAAAAGTAATCATAGAAAATATCTAGCACCGGACTTGAGCATAGAAAAGATGTTTGAGCTGAAACAATGGATCCTGATTTATATGCTATTTTCAGAAAAATCTTCAATACACATTTCAACTTTCACTTTCACCCACCTAATTCTGACTCATGCAGAAAGTGTGACTTTTTCAATGTCAAAATAAAGGCATCAAATGAAGAGCAGAAAAAACAACTTGAAGTAGATCTAGAACTCCATCAGAGGAAGGCAAAAGCAGCAAGGGATGGCCGGAAACATGATATTCAACAGGCGAAAAATAATGAAGTTTCTGTAATATGTTTCGATTTAATGAATACATTACCGACATCGTCTTAACAACTGAAATTTGTTATTATAAGAGGCAATTATGGACTTATTGTTTCAGCGTCCATGACATGGGCACTGATAATTCCAATATGTATATCTGGGACGAAACCGTCGCATCTCGGGGACCCTAAAAGATCGATTCCTGTCTGTTGCATTACATTAAGAATTTCCAAAAATCAAGAAAATTAATCATATGTTATTCCACCCGTACATCATGACTTCTACAGAAACATTAGAGCATCGGTCCAGGTGTCAGATGAAGAGTTACTTGACGAAGAAGATAAAGAAAAATGTAGATATTTTAGGTTGAAGTGATTTAAGTTTATACTTTTTTTGTTGTTTTAACAAATTTTTACTGCAGCAATAAAATAAATGCAAAAAAGTTAATATTTTACTACTATTATTCCGAAAACAAAATCAAAATCATTTACAACAATGTGAGCTAATCAACACAATCATCAGATAGCAAACTGGACTAATCGACATTAAAATTTAAGATTAAAATCATAACTTTATTATGTTGCCATTTTTAGTTATAACACGTCATTTTTTACATGGTAAGAAAAATGGGAACCAAAGTAACCATAAATAAAAATATTATGTGTCGGTCCATTTTTAAAAAAATTTAAAACCAATTATCTCCCATTATGCCAATTGGGTTTAATCAAATTAGCTTTTCATAGCCTCATATCCAATGTTATCAGATGACGGCCGAAATTTGTACCTACTATAAATCGTAAACATTCTAACAACTGTCGCCAAAAAATACCTCAATTTAAAACTTCCTAAATGCTTTAGTTTTGTAACAATCCACATGTTTACTTAGGCCTGGAATTAGCAAGATTACTGCCAATATCGTATCATTAATAACTTCAAAATCTAGTTGGGTGTGTTATCTTTTTTCCATTTATTTTGGGGTACGCATTCTAATAAGACAGCACCGGCTTTTGAATGAAAAGGCAGCGTATGTTTTCAAAATATCACTAGATTATTAATGATCAACGGGAGAAGTTGACATTTCGACTGAATATTGTTGACGAGTGTTCTGGATTTAGGCCAGAGGAATTTTTCTTGAATTAATTAGTTAGATCAGTACAGAGACGGTCATATAGGGGGGAACATTGGTCTTAAGACTAGCTTAATTGATACATTAATCTGGAATTACATATATACAATTTAGTATGCCATGTGAGACTTAAATACCTTGACAGAGAGGCACTAAATTGTAATTTTTTATAAAAATCCCCCTTAAATTGTTGGTAGAGCATCCTGTTAAATTGTATAATCATATATTTTTCTTTATTTAACTTATTCAACCTTAAATTATTTCGAAATATTATTGAACCTACTAAGAATTATTATCGTTTATGCCTGGTTAGAACAATTTAAATCCTACTTAAAATATTAATTTTTTTAGGTTATTCTTAGGATATTTAGAAAATAATTTAAAAATATGCTAGGTATGACTGGAATAAGTTTTTAACGTTTCAAAATATTCCAGAATTAATAGTTTAAAGAAAACCTATAAATATCATAACTATTCCTGGAATAATCCTAAAAATTATCCTCAGAATATATAACTAACCTAAACCTAAATCATGCTTAAAACAAGTTTGGTATTTTAGCCTTTAAAAAAAAATATTTTCCAATTTAATAACTTTTAAGAGGCAACCAAATAAATTTAATTCGCAACTGCTTGTGGTGACAGCGACGTGTGGAGAGAGTAGTAAGCTAGTAAGTAATATTTTTAAGATTTCTATATTTTCTTATTTGAATCAACTAACGATAGCCCTTTGGAAGATGGATATGAACGCTTATGGATCTGAAATTCTTTAAATGCGTCTTTTGAGTAACAGTCAAATTGTTTTCATCTGTAGACCACCACTGAACTTTTTTGTTGTGAACTCTAAAGAGAAGTATTATAACAAGTATATACTTTTTTTAAACTATGCTGAATACCTACTTATATTTATATGTGGTAAATTTGTTGGTTAGTCTTTATAATCACACCCTTGATACAATTTATATGCTCAAACACTGATCGGCGTCCTATCTACAAATACTACACATAAAATAAGTTATTAATTAATACGAATATTCGTACCTAAATGCAAATTCCGTTTTAAGAGCAGTATATACTAAAGGGCAATATACCAAGACCTTGATAATAGTCGGCTATTTTTGTTGAATCTAAATCTCGAGAATATTTTAATATTTTTGGCATTAATATTCTGATTAGAGCCCGAGAGCTTTAGCTCGAGGGCTTTATTCAATTGATTATTAATCCAAAATTATATAGGATCAAATTGTAAAATATTCAAGAAATTTAGCAATAAAAATAGAAGAATATTAATCAAGGTCGTGTTATATTTGAGACCACTATTTCACTAGAAAAAATATTGACTATTTCTCTAGAGAAATAGTCGCCAATATTTGGTCTCGAGAGATAGTCAAGGGTAATATACCTTGATAATTTACCTTGATAATTTTTGTTGAATCTAAATCTCGACAATATTTTAATATAAATTTGATGAGACATAATTTTTGGCCCTAATAATATGATTAGAGCCCGAGAGCATTAGCTTGAGGGCTTTAATCAATTGGTTATTATTGCCAAAACTATGTAGAATAAAATTGTAATATGTTCGAGAAATTTAGCAACAACAAAAATAGTAGAATATTATTCAAGGTCGTGTTATATTTGGGACGACTATTTCACTAGACCAAATATTGACTATTTCTCAAAAAAAAATAAAAATATTAAAAAATGAAAAATTTTGATACCTGTCAATCTGACAGCGACAGTCTGTCAATTTGACAGCCCCACGTTGGTTAGCGACATTTAATATGAAAATCAGTTTAGTAATTTGTAAACCCGACTAACAAATCTTTATCTCAGGGTACCGTAGGTCCAAGACAAAGAAGTAGAGAGGGTAGAACGATAAGGTACCGTCTGCGCATCCATCACGAGTCTAGAAATTATGCCTAATTCAACCTTCCACTCTTAAACATGTAAATGACAAGGAGAGGTTGCCCTAAAGCACTGTAAACAAATTCCAGGATTGGCTTTGTTCAGCGATTATGTTCATGTTCAGTTGTTTTTTGTTTGTTTCGTGGCTGTTGTAAGCTTCTTTGGCGTCGATTCTTTGTTATCTTGCGTATATTTGTGATTTTTTGTGCTTTTATTTCAATTTAGTATTAAATTATACTTAATTATTTTCCGATGAACTATTTTATAATTGTTGCACAAAATGTTGTTAAACCGTCCCTGAATCTTGTTTACAAAATCTGCAAAACGAAATTGTGCATAGTGTCTAGACTTTTTCATTGATAGTTATCATTCTACCCCTCTCCACTTCATTGGTTCAAGAGTTACAATAATTTGGATCAAAATGGAGGAATGGAAAATCTTACCTCCAAAATTCAAACACGTAGATTCTTGATGTCAAGTGTGTCCACTCAACATTTGACAGGTTTACAAAGTAATTGAAGGGCTTATAGCAAAAACAGATAGTTAAAAAACCTAATATCTTAAACACGACAAGCAGTACCAGCGTAAAATATTATTAGATCGGTAAATTAAACTATAGGATTTATTGGCAACAGTTTGGTTTTATAAAAAAATCTGATGTGTCCAACACATGACTTTTCTATCTAGTTATTATAGGCTTTTTCCGGGTATTTTGTACAACCTATTGCAGCATCTCTATAAATGTTCAGAGGATAAAGTAAATATATACATTATCCACATACATCTACCTCGAAACATTTTTCTATAGATATTCGTTGAAAACGAAAATACTGAAAAATTTAAATTTCCTACAATTTTTTCATTACGGTCCATTTTAGAAAAATCATGTATAAACAAAAATTATAGAGATCGATATCGCAAACAACTTTTAGTTGAACAATTTTCATAGAAATCAGAATTTTGTACATTTTGTCAAATTTCTCGAATACGGACCATTTCAGGAAATTTTGACATAAGGCAGAAATTATAGATAATATTAGAAGTAACTTTTATTTGAACATTTTTTTCTCCAAACATAAATAACAGATATATTCCATAATATATAAAAAACGGCCTACCATAAAGTATCCCCCCCAGATGTTCCGACTTTGTCCAAACTCTAATCCTTTTACGTCAGGTCGAAATAAAACTTAAGTTTAAAATTTAATGATTTTTTCTTTAAATGTTTTTGAGTTTTCTTCAAATTTCAAAATTTACAATTTTCTCAAATTTCTCGAATATGGTCCATTTTAGAGAAATTATGTATAGGTCTTGGTATATTGGCCTTTGAACCAATATCCCGTCTCTAATATGCCTATCTAGCAGTTTTTCCAAAGTCTTAAGTACGAAGGACATAAGACTTATTGGTCTTAGGGACGTTTCCTGTTCCATTTTCCCAGGTTTTGGTATAAAAGTTACCCTAATATTTCTCCAAGCTTTTGGTATGTGTCCAAAGGCCAAGTTACTTCTGAGTATGTTACAGAGTCTGCTGTATAAAATATTAGGACGGACTCCTTTGTAACATTATTGGATAAATCCCGTCCATGCCCGGTGATTTATATGGTTCGAATGAGCTAATTGCCCATTTCAGTTTATCATAGTTCACCACTTGTTTGGCTATCCTCCAATCTTCCCTGTTGGCTCTATTATGGGCTTCCAGTCCGTTTAGATTCCGGTTATCCGGTGTGTGTGCTATGGTTTGTTCACCAGGGAAGTGAACCCTGATGAGTTCCCTTACTGTTTCCTTCCCTGTGATTGTGTACTCCCCAAGTTCATTCTTAAGGGTGTTTATTGTGTTGTGTGTCTTTTGATAGAATTTTTTGGAGCCTGGCACATTCTTGAGTGCTTGCTATCTCCTCACAGTGCCTTCTCCAAGACTCTCTCTTGACTTTTCGTAAAGCTATGTTGTAACAGGTGCGTATGGTTCTATATAGTTCCCATTCGCCGGTTATTTTAGCCTTATTAAATTTTTGTCTCACCTGTTTCCTTAGTATAGCCAGGTCATCATTCCACCATGGAACTTTCCTGGTAGAGTTCCTTGCTATTAAGGGACAGGTATCGTTAAAAGCGCTAGTGACTGTGTCATTAAACTCATCCACAGCCATTTCTAGGTCGGTTGTTGTTCTTATCGTCTTTCCCATCTTCGGAAGATTACATTCCAGGGAAGCATTGTATGCCTCCCAGTCTGTTTTCCTGGGATTCCGATAAGTTTCTTTTGCAATATTACCTTTAATATTGAAGTTTATATGTCTGTGATCTGATAAACTCTCTTCGTCAGACACATGCCAGTCTGTAACAAAATTACTCAAGTATGTTTTTGGGCTGCATTCTTGTGGAGATTTTCCTCCGTCCACGTTCCTGCAGCCATTTTTCTTTCCTTTAGAAGCTTCTTTCTCTCCGCTCCTGAAGGTGTTTTCGGTCAATCAGCAACCTCTGCTTTTTTGACCTTTTCTTTTGTTTGGGAGCAGTCGTCTGTTTTCACAGATGCTCCTTCCGCTAAGGGGTTAGAGTCCTCTGCTTTCTCAGTTCCTCCTTCCCTTGAGTTGTCGGAGTCCAAAACTAACGCAATCTCTCCGAAAGTCATGTTCAAGGAGCCTCTTCAGGTAGAAAATATTTTAATTTCAAGATCAATTTAAATAGTCCTCAACTTTCTTAGAAAGTCTAGTCGGCAGAAAGTGTTACGCAGATTGTTAATTATTTTAGTTAAGATTTACATTTCTATTTACATAGTCCTGTGAATGTAACACGCAGAATAGTTAGTTCTGTAATAATAGGCGATAAAATGGCAAAAACGTCTAATTATACTCCTGGGAAATTAAAGTACAATTTAGCGGTGCATATGAAAACTTTACTGATAAATGTACATGACGCTCTTGTATATAAATGTTCATGTACTGTTCGAAGTATAGTTTACAAATGTATCCTTTTTGATTTTTCCTGAAGTAAGTAATTAACTATTAAGTAATTAAATAATAACATAATTAATTATGTTTAACATTACTATTCAATGGTAAATGTTTTTTTCCAGAAGGGCGGCTTCTGTCCAGAATCTACAGGGCTTTATTCGAGGTTAAGGAGTTCCTATAGGCGTCAATACAGTGTGATGTATTCGATTCGAATAAGATATTTTAATGGGAACTATCAACCCAGATATAGTTTTAAGTACAAAAGGTAGAAGTAAAATTGGAAAAAGAAAAAGGCCTAAAAATAATATAACTTGGTAAAGCATCATCTAAAGAAATATAACATTGTTTTGATGATCCGATGCACGATTTCTACCGGATTGGCTTGGGGACGGTACAGTGAAGTATATTTTATGTGTACACCATACTTTATCATAAAATCTAAAAAAACATTACCGTGAAATTGGACACTGTTTTTCCATATAATAGTTTTAGGTGCACCATATACTAGGAAA